GAGAGGGGAACAGACAACAAACAAACAAGACAAACCCAAATTTCATGGAGTAAAAGATGCTGCAAGGAAAAGAGAACAGGGTAATGGGACAGAGGTGACTGGGGACAAGGATTTCTTGAGTGGTCAGGGAGGGGGGGGAGAAGCTTGAGTGCTGAGAGGTAGCCAGTCATCAAGTGGGGAAAAGCGCTCCAGGCTGAAGGCGCGGCAGAGGAAAGGCTTGAGCTAGGAACAGGCTTTGCCCGTTCGGTGGGCAGAGGGCAGGCAGCGTGGCAGGTGCCCATAGAGCCAGTGGAAGGGAGAGGCACATGGGGCCTGGAGGCCAGCAGGGCCTGAGTGCCAGCCTTGGGAACTTTGTGCCAGTTGTGGTGCCACCGGAGAGGGTTTGGGCTGAAGGGAGACAGGTGGCTAGGAGGTGAGGGGGGACCCTGGAGGCTGGTCAGGAGGCTGTGACAGAGTCCAGGTGAAAGGTGGCAGGGGCTTGGACCACATGGTAACCATGGAGGTAGAGGTGTGGGCAGATACCAGATGATATGGGAGATGGCAGGGCTTATTGGTGGTGGATGCGGTGGAAGAGAAGAGGGCATCAGGATGGCTCTGGGCTTTGGCCCTGAGAACTTGGGGCTGATGGTTCCAGGATCTGAGACAGGGAAGGCTGGGAGTTGGGAGCATGAATAAAGTCTGGCAGGCCAGACACACAGCCACAGTGGCGGGCCGAACCCAGCTCTTAGCCTCCTGCTGCGGGAACCCACTGTACTACTCAGATGCTCCAGATGGCCCAGGGGGCCTCCTGCTCTGCCGGCCACCCAGCCCCACCTCAGGAGCTTTTGGCCTACATGGCAGCCCCCAGCTCCCTGCCAGGCCCCAGGGGACCCTGGCCTATCCTCGCGGTGGGCTGGAGGGCCTGTGGGCAGGAACTCAGCAATAGATGGAGGAGTCGATGTCACCCATAGCACTTCAGTTTGTCAGGAGCTTTGCAGCCTCCACAAGGCCACTGTTTTAGCCAAGCAGAAGGAGGCCTTGGTGCCCAGGAGCACCACTGGCCTGCTTTAAAGCTGAGTCCATTTTTAAGGGATACTAGGCTTCTGGGCAAAAGCATCTCTCCACAGCTTTGAAGAGCAGAACTGGACTAGGAGCCCCACTTTACAGACGTGTAAACAGAGGCTTTGAGCAGTCAGGTGGCTTGGCCCACATCCCCAGAGACAAGTCTGGGGAAGCCTGATGTCTCCGCAGCACATCTGCTCTCCCATTAGCCCTTCTGCCCTTGGCCTGCTGGCTTCCCAGCCCTGACCCACCTCCACCCTATGCCAGCCCCCATCAGGAGCCTTATATGAGAACAGGAAGGTTTGTTCCTAACCTTCTCATCCAGTTACTCTCCTAGCTCTCCCTGGACTGCTTGGGATGAGAGCTGCGCACAAGATTGGTGTCAGTCACCAGTCTTTGGGTAGCATGGTCCTCACTGGCTGCTCAAGTTCAATCTTCCTTCATACCCCAGTCCACTGTACCAACAAGAGATGGCCACTCAGAGCACCTAGAACTAGTGCTCACGGTTCTGTTTGCAGCTGGTCCAAACTACCATCATCTCCTGCTTGGACCATTGCAGTAGCCTCCTCGCTGTTCTTCCTACTGCCACCCTTACCCCCTCCCTCCTGATACACACAGACCGTTCTCCCCTGAGCACACACTCCCCAACCCCCAACACACACACAGGCTTCCTACCACATTGAGCATCATGACAGGGCTGACCTGCCTCTTCAACCTCAGTTCCTAGGCCTTCCCATACCCGCATGACCTTTAGAGTCATTACACACTTATTAGGGTCACTCCCACTCGGGGCATCTGCACCAGTTTTTCCTTCTGCAGATCTGGCTCTTCCCTGTTCTGCACAGCTAGCTCCTGCCTGTCACTCAGATCTCACCTATCATTATTTCATCACTTGTTAGAGTCCTGCATTACACCAATAGTGTCCTTATTTCTTTGTTTGCCTTGTGTCACAGAATCCCCAGTGCCTAGCATATGGCTGATGTTCAATAAATGATTGTTGAATTAAGGAATGAATGATGTCTGCCTGGCACCGTGTGAACAGAGCAGCAGAGGCCTGCCCTCACGGAGCTCACAGTTAAGCTCTAGCTTTACCCAAGTTCACACACATTGTCTGGTTCTAGAGCTGCCCATGAACCAGCAACCTATGTGGCAAATCTGACCCACAAACATATTTTGTTTGACTCATTCCATGTTTTTAAGAAACTTGAGTCATCATTTTAAAATTGGTAGATTTCACAATACAAATCTGGATTTCTGGCTTCTCTTGGAAAGTGGTCTGTTGGGTTTCTGTGCTCAAATGACACAACTGTTACTACGCCTTTAGAGAGGCACATTCTCCACAGTCCCACCACTCTCTAGTCTTCCTGACAGCCAGTGTCAGTTACCTCTGATCCCTCAACTTGTGCCACTGCTTTTCTTATAGTAAAGAAATGCGCTGTATGTTCATGCCACTGCCAAATGTTGAAACATGAAAGTCTGGATGGGTCACTTGAGTCAAGAAAAAATAGGACATCCGTTCAACAAATGTTTATTGATAACTCAGTGTGCCAGGCATAGTTGTAGATACTGGAGATACAGCAGTAGACAGCATGGATGTATGTCCCTCCCTCGTGGGGCCTCTTCCACATACCGTGTAACATTCTTTCCATAAGCGGAGGCATTTGAATTGCTCCCCCAATGAGAAAGGCTGCCTCTTGTGTCCATGGTCATCCTGGTCATATGTGAGCCAAACTCCTAGGCTCCAGGAAGAAGTGAAGGAGGCCCACCTTCCCCCAACTCCTCTCCCAAAGGGGTACACCTCAGCAGGCCTGCTGGGGATGTACAGGGCCTGCCTGAAAGTCTACCATCAGCAAGCTGCTCCTCTTACACTCCTGACTTTTGAACTGTGTGAATTCACTTATCAGACTCATTTCCTCCTAATCTGTTCCAGCAAACATTTAATATGTGAGAAAGGTGTATGTGTGGTAGGGACTCTGAAATGTTAGTTTATTTTATACTGGGAAAGGAGGAGAGCTAAAAAGCGGATGGGGTCCCATTCCTGCCCTTACTGGTCAGCTAGTGAGAGAAGCCCAGCTCTAGCCAGTGGCCAAAATGTCACAGTAATGTCCCTCATGGAAGCCACCAAATACTCCCCAGCTTGTGAGAATGGCAGGCCTCCCTCCAGCTGAGCCTGGGGACTAGTCAGAGCATGATGAATGGCTGGAGAGGGGCCCCAGGCTGATCCTCAGCCAAGGGTGGGCTATGGGGGAAGGGGACAGGATCCCTCTGCCTGCTGTGGCTGCCACCTGGCACAGGTGGTTTAGCCTGACTTCTTCAGGAGTTCTCAGGCCTCTACTCACCTCCAGCCTTGCTGCAAATCTGGCCATCTGAGACGAGGAGGAGGGTTTTTGTGGGGGTGTCAGCCCCAGTCACTAAGGCCCTGGGGTCTTTGGGGATTCCAGTGAGCTCAGAAAGGTCTAAATGCCCCTTCCTCCACGAAGCCTTCCACACTTCCGGGCCAGAGGACCGGCTCTGGGCAGTGATCAGCACCCGGCGCCCGTCAGGCGCCCTCCGCTTTGTGTGGTGGAGGGTGCAGCCCCGCCCGCACGCTGCCCTGCCTCCTGAGGCCCCGTGTGCCTGTCCGCACGGAGCCGGTGCCCAGCAAATACCTCTAAGCTGAACCACGAACTGCTCAGCCAGGCCTTTGGGATCCGGGGCCACCTGGGCACGGGCCCGGTTGAACAAGTGTGGGCTGGGCCGCCCATTCCCACCCGACAGCTTCACGCCTCTCCAGGAGCCCCGGGCGTGCGGAGCCAGTCCAGGCCCAGTTAGGCGAGTTTCATTTCGTCACCCTCTGAGCGCGCGAGCGCGGGTGCAAATAACGTTGCCCCCTCCCCTCCCCTGCTCCCTCGGAAACTCCGAAATTCTGAAACTCTCGCTTGCAAATGGTTGCAGTCGGGGCTGTAAGGGCCCCGGCCAGAGGCGGCCAGACTAGCTGGGCAGCGGAGTGCTGGGTGCCCTGCGCCCGCCCGCCCCCCTACCCCACCGCCTCCGCCCGGCCACCCCGCCCAGGCCGCGAGGCCACCTCACCCGCAGCGGAATGGAAACCGGTTCGACAGGTAACAAATAGGTGGGTTGTCACCGTTATTTCCCAACGCATGCGCCGTCGTTCCCAGGGCCACTCCAAGCTAATTAGCTCGGATCACCACCCGCCCGCCCAGCCACCGACACACAACGCCGCGAGCCAATAAAGCGTGAACCCGTCCGTCCGGCTCGCACTTTAAGACTTCCCGAGCGGCCGCGGGGACGCCAGTCGAGCGGGAGACGCTTACCTGCCGCTTCCGCCGCCGCCCGGTGCACCTGGCTGCAAGGGACCTCGTTCGGAGGGAGGCCGGGAGCAGCTCCGCGGAACTGGACCCCGGCGTGCGCCGTCCCGGGCACGGGGTCTCCGCGGAACGCGGGTTCGCTTCGGCGACTCCTTCGCTGAACTGCCCCCCACCTCCGCCCGCCTCCAGCGCGGCCGGGAACGGTGGTACGGCTCCGGCTCCAGCTACGGAAGCGGACGGTGCCGGAGGGTTTCGAAGAGGGTTCGAAAATGCCCCGTGCGTTTCTGGTGAAGAAGCCGTGCGTCTCCACGTGCAAGAGGAACTGGAGCGAGCTCCCAGATGAGGAGCGCGGCGAGATCTACGTGCCAGGTGAGCGCCCGGCCCGCCGGCCCCCGGCCCCCCGCCGCCCTCGAGCCTGGGGCGCCTGCGGGGCGGGGCGGCAGGGCCCTGTCGAGGCGGCGTGCGTGCGGGACGCTGCGGCAGCGAGCCCGACGGCCGGCGCAGCGGGGGCGCCCGATTTAATGTTTAAGCGACCGCGGCTCCGTTAGCCCCGGGCGCGGGGGGAGGGGGGAGGCGGGCGGGGGAGGCGCCGAGGGCGGGCGGGGGCCGCTAGGTGGGGGCGAGAGCCCGTCCCGTCCGAGGCGCGCGGTGCCGCCCTCCCCTCCACCGGCCCGAGCAGCGGCGCAGGGGAGGCAACGGGGTGTGTCACTGCTCAGGCGACCCTCCAATCTCTAGTCATAAATCCAGAAAGTCGGGACTTTTATGGGGCGGGAGGAGGTCACTGGAGCGATGCCACTTTGGGAGGCAGGGAGCGTGCTGGAGTTCGGCCGCGGTTTGTGCAAAATCTAAGAAACGACTCAGAGCTTAAGACACCGTCATTGGTCTCTCCGTCTCCTTCCCCCGTCTCCTTCCCATTCTGGTGACCAGAAGGTCGCGGAGAGGGTCGGGCCGACGGGGGGCTGAGAAGACAGTGGGGAAGGCGCCCCAAGTACAGAAGACGGAGGTGGGATCCGATCTCACATCTGCTCGAAACTCGCGTCCTTTAATTTCGCACACCACACCATTGAGCAGAAAGTGGTTTTAGGGAGCACACCCCACAGCCAGAGGACCAGGCCCCGGGGAAGCCGTACACCCAGTTTATTTTTGGAAGACGCCTTGACAGCGTCAGAGTTTAGAATGAGTAACCTAAGTTATTTCTTCCTCCCGTGGCATCTTCCTCTGGAAGCCCTACAGACATGTCTTTCCTTTCTGGCATATTCCCCGCACCCCTTGCCCCCAACAAACTCTTTGGTCAGGAGAAAGCCAGTTTCCTTCTGACCTCCCCTTCCCCAGACCTGGGGGTGGGGCAGGGATGCCCTGAACACCGTAATTAACCAACCGACTTTGACCCTTGATCTGCATGCAGGCTCCAGGGCACCGCCCCGGGTCTTGTAGTAAAGTGGTGAAGTGAGCTCGGTGAGGGGCCCTGTGAGGGCTTGTGCCTCAGTTTCTCTCCTAAATTAATTGTTGGAGGCACTGGGTATAGTGGTGAGATCTTTTTGGCCACCAGGATCCAATGGTCTAGGGCCCTGGCTGGATGTTCACAGCTTACCTTTCTCTCAAGTGCAGGCCCTCTTCAACAGCTTCCTTAAAAAACAGGGAATGTGCCGCAAGTCCCTGCTGACCCAAATGGGGAAACTGAGACAAAAAGAAGTGAGTTGCCTCCTCATCTGAGGTGGATCAGGTTGTGGGCCCAAGATTCTGTTAAATTCTTGCTTCGCCAAGTTCCCAGGTGAGTGGACTGGCCTTCTACCCACAAAGGGCCTGCTTAGGGGCCGAGCCCCCGACTCACTCCTGCCTCCTCCCTCACCTGTTTGTCTTGCTGCTTAGCTGCTCCTTGGGATCTGATAAACTGAACTTGGACTGTGTTAAAGGTGAGGCGAGCCTTGCAGAGACTCAGTGTGCTGTTATTTTTAGCTTTATTTCACATCTCAATCGCTAACAGATCATGCATTGACTTTAACAAAGGACAAAGAAATTCCGATTGTTCAAATCGTTGACTTCCTTGCGTCCTGGTGATTTTCCCTGTCACAGTTGTGGTGGCCCCAGCGGGAGTGGCGTGGGAGACCTGAACCCCAGGGGCGCCCACAGGTGAAGAGGAGGGCTTCTGGGGGGTCTGCACCACCTGCTGCTGCTGTCCAGGTGAGGGATGCTGTGCAGGCCACTCACTCTCTGGGATCATCTGGGGATAGTTGGGGAGGTGGGGGAGTGTCTAACCTGGAGGGTGAAGGTGAGAATTTGCCCTCTTGGCTCTGGTGAGGGAAAGTGTTATGGGGTCAAGCAAAGTGTAGAAGTCAAAGAACTTAATTTTGCCTCTAAAAGCGGCCTGGAGAGTTTTCCCAGAGTATTTGGAAATGAAAAAGGGAATGTTTTCGGGCCACGCTTGGGTGCCTCAGAAGGCTGGAGAGTGGGGAGTGTTTTGTGGTGGCCTGTCCTCTGGCTGGGCCATTCCATCACCAGCCAACCATGACCCCAGGAGCCGGCTGGGCACGTTTCCTTCACCCCACCTCACAAACTCAGCACGTTGTGACCAGCTAAGCACTGACCCCGTTCCCACTGCATTGGGGGAGGGGACCTAGGGGACAGGGATGCCTTTGAGGTCTGACTTCCTGTGAGGGCCCACTGAGGCCCTTAAAGCTCAGTGCCTGGAAGGAGAAGCTTTTCCTGACAGAGGAGCCGGGCCCCACCTGGCAGCCCTGACTCCTGGGCCCTGGGCTGATCCCACACCGCATCCTCTATCCCTGCAGCCTGGTTCTACAAGTTCCACCCCCAGGAGCAGAACCTTTCCCTGGGGCCTCACTCCTCCCAAAGCTGCCGAAAAGCCCAGAGGTGGGCACAAGGGTTGGAAGGCTGCAAGGGAGGGAGATGGCTCCGCTCATGCTGGGAGCATTGGCAGGGAGGGTTTGTGGTTTCACTGTCATCTGTTTGGGCCCCAGAGGCCCACAAGCCTTTCCAGAGCCCTTCACCGCCAGCCCTTCCCTTCCCTGTGCTTCTCTGTATATAAATATTGGCCGTGCAAACCTGGAAGAAATGCTGGTTTCTTGGAGAGGACCCCAGGCATCTGCGCCTGGGGACAAATTCCATCTCTTGGTTGGAAGGGGAAACTCAGGAAAAGAGATGAAGCTGGGATCCCCAAGCCTGCAAGGCCAGGAAGGCACCCGAGGGAGCCTGGGAGCTGGACTGACATGCTCCCAGCCAGGGCCTCCCAGGGCTCCTTCTAGGCCCCCTGCCACCCCTCCCCTGCTTCAGAGCCTCCTTGAGCCTGGTGTCAATACATACCGACCGTGGGGAGACAGCCAGGCAGGAGGGGAGACTGAAGGCTCTGACCAGGCAGGGTAGGCACCTGGGCCGCCTCTTTCCAGGCTGAGTTACAAAGGCTGAGAAAGTCAGATTTGGGACACAAAATGCATCGGGGTGGTGGTGGTGGTGAGGAGTTGGAGCGGGGAGAAGGCGAGGCTGGGAGAATAGACAGCCAGGCTGTGGATGGGACAGAAAGCAACTTTGGCCCAGCCATGGGCTACACGGCACTCATGCCCATCCCAAGGAGAGCTGTCACCCAAGCTGCCAAACTGTTTGTCCCCAGCTTGGGTGACCTGAGGTGGAATGCTGCCAGGCCGTTTGTCCCAGAGAGAGCTGTTGGGGGGCAAGTCCTCTGGGCACAGGGAGGATGGGAGCAAAGAGTGGCCATTGCTGCTGCCAGGGCTCCAGTTGACGCTGTGCACCTTCAGCAAGCACGTGCTGCCCCACTGGGGGCCAGTGCCAGGCTAGATGGGAGGGTTGGCGGGTGCACATGCAGCACCGTTCCCGCTGCTCGGCCGTCCACCCAGGTTGAAGGCTGAAGTGCATGGCTTTAACTTCATTATAGACACGGTATGAAAAGTGGTTGGGAAAGGGGAAAAGATACTGCCTGAGAGAAAAACTTGGCATTCACAGGATGGAAACAGCAGGCCGAGAGACAAGCCCATTGTGTTTGCAGGGCTGCCTGCCTCTGCCAGCTGGCTGGCCCTGGCCGCCTTTTGGGCATGGCCAGCTGACCTGCTGGGGCTGAGGGAGAAGGGCACAGGGGGCCCCGCCCTTCCTGATAAGGTTGCAGGGCCACCTAATCCCAACCTGGGCTGTGCTGTCACAGGGGGTCCCCCATTCAGAGCTGAACTCGACCCCAACCTCCAGGTCGGCCTGAACTGGCCGTGTGTGGTCACCTATTCTCCCCAGAGAGCGGGGGTGGGGGGGCAGGCCTTGTGCCCTGAAGCCTGGGTGGGGGGACCTGGTACTCTGTCCAGCAGCTTTTAATGCAAGAGAGAGGGGACTGGCTGAGCGTGAGGCGGGCCCATGCCCTCAATGCCAGCCAGGTGGAGGCAAATTGGGCCACCCGAAGCGGAACCTGCGAACCCCTGAGGGAGTGGGGAGAGGGCCAGACCGCTCTGGCCTTGCCATACTCCACAGCTGTGGGCAGGATGAGTGACCACAGAGGCCGCCGCCTTGCCGGAAGCATCTAATTAGGGGACAGAGAGCAGCACGAGCAGGGCCCAACCAGTTCTGCTTCCTGCCTCCTGCCACTTAGTGACACCCAGCGACAGGAGCAGCACACCACTGAGCACTCCCTGTGCGTGTGGTGGCAGCAGGAACACGTCCACGGGGGTGGCAGGAAGACCGGTTTGGCAGGGCAGGTGGGATGAGGCAGACATCCCCTCCCTGGCAGCCGTGTGGCTGCCCGTCGAGCCTCACCTGCCCCTCCTGGGTACAGGCAGTACTGAGGCCAGATGAGGCCCAGCTCCTCAGCACCACCATTTCAGGGTTCCTGTGGAACAGGAGAGGCAGTCACAGGCCTCCTCCCAAACTGGCCCAGATCCTGAGAACCCTAACCATGACCCCCCACCCCCGCCCACTGCCAGAGGAACAAAGCAGCCAAGAGTGACAACTGGCTTTGGCCACAAGCCAGTTAACCCTCACCTGCTGTCATTCCTCCCTGCGCTGCTCCATGTGTCGCGGTGTGGCCAGGCTCCAACTTCTGGGAGCCTCCTCACTATCCGACACCGTGACGGAAGAGGGCAGAGGTTCCCGTTGGCCTCTACCTGGGTTGAGAAATGGAAATTGTCATCCAGCTTTGAATTCTCTGCCAAGATCTTCACTAGCTGGTAAACTGGCATCTGAAACTGCCAACGCTCTGGCACACCCTGCCCTCCCCACCCCAGCCCCCAGCCCATGTGCACAGACAGACGTCCGGCGGGTAGGCCAGAGGGACCCCCGAGAGCTTGGGCCTGATGTCCAGCTTCCAGGGCTGGGACCGAGGCGCCACGCCAGCTCAGAGGCCAGGCGAGGGCCAGGCACTGGTGAATCAACTCCCCAAATGAGGTGGCTCATTAAAGTCTCTGGGCAGACGGACGCCAGTGCCAGCAGAACGGGTTCTGGGCTGGGGCAGGTGCATTCTTCACCTTTGTTGTTTTGAGGGGGCGAGAGCAGAGGCCTGTCCCGAAACTTTGGCGCTTCCATATTTATCCCTTCTCCATTAACATGCCCCTGGCCTCCCCCACATCTCCATGTGCCTCCACATCACCTCCTGAGGTGTCCAGGCAGAGGAAGTGAGGGCAGCGCCCCTCCTGCGTGGGGCCACCCTGCCCTGGGTCCTCGTCCTCTCCATCACCAGCCACTGGCAGTGGGTGCAGGAGGCCCTGTGTGTGTGTGCATTTGAGACCCTGACTCAGCCTCTTAAGTGCCTCTCCCTAAAGCTCACTCATCCTTAAATTCCTGCAGTTTTTCCTCCTGAAGCTTGGATATGCCTAGCTCAGGGTTTTACATAGAGAGGTTAGCCATTTTGGAAGAAAAGTACTGATGAAACTGAAACATTAGATGGCCTGCCCCGGCTCCGCGGGCTCTGAGACTCCCCTCCGCTCTGTGTGCTCAGGCAGCTCCTCCCGCCACCCAGCACCGGGGCCAAGCCTCTCTGGCTCCGTTTAGCGTGAGGTGCCTGCCTTGGGGAGTGGCCGCGTCAAAGGGCTGCCAGGTATCGGTGCCTCAGAGGGTGGGAGCCCAGCCCTCCCTGTGCTCAGTGAGCGGTCCCTGCCATGGGGGAGGGTGGCATAATGGCTGGCAGGCCTCCCAGGAGACTGTTACGCTGCTGCCACATCCACCTGCCGCGCCCTGACCTCCTCCCTTCCCCACCCCTACCCAGCCTGCCTGCCTGCCAGGCTAGGCCAGCAGGAGTGGGGAGCCTGGAGTCCTGATGGGCTGTGACAGGCCGGGAGAAGAAGGGACTAGGACCACACAGTCCCCCATGGCCAAACCTGCCTGGAGGAGAGGCCCAGAGTGGCCCAGAATACCAGGGACCCTTCTGGGGCAAGGATGAGTCCCTGGGCCTCCAGCGGTGCCCTTTGCCCCTGCGGGAACCTGGATGACGCCTGGAATCCAGAGGGACTGGCCCAGGTGGGGCGGGCAGACAGCTCTCCCAGGATAATTGGCAGGGCAGGTTCGGTCCTCCCAGTTCCGCTAAGACACAAATTACTCAGCGGGCAAGCCTGTGGGCCGGGGCGCTTGCCTGGCGTCACCTGTAATTACCTTAATGGAGCGGGAGGGAGGTGCTGCGTGTGGTGGGCTGGGGGTAGCCCTGCTCCACCACATGCCTGCAAGGGGCGGGACAAAGGCTTGAGGCTCAGCCAGCTCATTTTGCCAGGCAGCCTTCCTGAAAGACCTCAAATCCTCTTTCCTCCACCTAGCCCCTCACCTGGCTGTTCTTCTCTCCACAGTCAGCCTGGGCATCTACCCGCCACAGCCTTATCAGGAGCCAGAGCCATCGGTGGCTGAACCCCCCTCCTGCCCCCTGGCTTTGGACATGAGCCTTCGGGACCCCAGCTGCAGTGTGGCCCCTGGGCCCTGCGTGGTGGCCCAGCTGCCCTCAGAAGACATGGGCCGCTTGACAGACCCCCAGAGCAGCGACCATGGCTTCCTGCGCACTAAGATGAAGGTACCAACCCTCACACTGTCTCCAAGGGCCAGGGGCATGTATGTAGAGCTGTGTCCGGCCCATGAGCCATGGAGCACACGAGATGCAAGCAGAGGCTGGCCCTGGACCCAGTCCAGGTCCCCACAGAGAAGTGAACCTGGCTAGCTGAGGCACAGATGGAAGTGAGACGGAAGAGCAGCGGGTCCAAAGTGACAGTGGGAAGAGGCAGGGGGTTCCAAGACCTAGCACACTTTATGGAGTCCATTCTGGGGGTTGTTACATTCCTGGCCTTAAGGGGAACCACATCTCTACACAGAAGTCCTAGGAAGAGCAGGCAGACGTGAGCCCCGCTCAGCACCTTCCCCTGGGCTCCCATCTGTGCTGCATCCAGAGTGAGGTCTGCAGTGCACTTGGTGGCTAACTGTTCCTTGAGGCCAGTGCCCGGCGGTCTCTCCCTCACCCGAGTGTGTCACTTCCAGCCCTGTTGGTGCTTGAGGCCAGAGCGGGGCTGTCCCTGGCTGGGCCTGCATTCCTGACAGCTCCAGGATCTGGCCGCACCTGGCAGCAGTGATGCGGTGGGAGGGTTCTTTTCAAAGTGCTATTCCGGGTGCCAAAAGGCCAAAGGAAGCTGGCCGTGAAATGCTGCTGCTTCCTCTCTTACCTGCAGAGGCCAAGTGGGTGTCATAACTGGAGGGGAACCATCAAGACATGCTGGGCAGCTGGCACAGCACCCTGAGCCCCTCGGCCCTCCCTCTCAGCCGTGCACCCCAGCGGGTAGGAAGGGTGTGGGGAGAGCAGAGGCACAGGACAGTGGGTGTACACAACCCGCTAGCAGCACGGGGGGCCCCCAGGCGCCAGCAGCCGTAAGATGTGTGATGGGTGCACCCAGTGTGACAGGGCCATCCACAAAGCACGAGCAACCCACAGAAACTAGCAGAGGAGGGGCATCAAGACCATGCCACCGCCCCCGTGCTGGCCACACGGCCCGGAGAGCACTGCCACCACTGAGCAGTGTGCCTCTGAGGGCTTGGGGTGCCCAGGATCTGCGTCAGAGTGACCCAGGCTGGGGGGAGGTGGGGACATGAGATGGAAGGAGGCTGGCCCTCAGTGAGAGGCCCACGGTACTCATCTCCACTTCTGAGGAGAGCTGAGATTTTCCCTTATTACCAAAAAAATGAAAAAACTTTGTAAGCAAGAGAGTCATCACAGTGGCAATGGGATTAAACTGTACCACATCAGCCCTGGTCCGAGGGGAGCCGGGGGGCCGGCCTGGCCTGCGGGGGACTCCAGGCTCACAGCGGTGGCCTCAGCCTGAGAAGGCTTCCACAGAGACCGTGTCACGGGCGTCTTCCTCTGTCGTAAGGCATAGAACGAGGGCAGAGAGCAGAAACTAGAGAGATGCAGATCTGGGCTCCGTGAAGAAGAACCTTCTAGCAGGCAGAGTTGCTGATGGTGAATCAAGCTGCTTCTCTAGGTGGTTAGCTGCCCATTTGTAGAGGTGGCAAAGGGGCTGGGTAGCAACCCTGAAGGGGGACTTGGGGATCCACAGGAAGCTGACCCTAGACCCAGAGGTTCCTTTGTGCCCCACCACCGCTGCTGCCCGTGAGCCAGCGGCACAGAGGTGTGGCCTCTGGCGGGTGGGCACAGCTTTCCTCCCAGTCTGCCCACCTGCAGCCCCAACTCTTGGATGTCTTTCACAAACACCATCCTCACCCACAGGTGACCCTGGGGGACAGTCCCAGTGGAGACCTCTTCACCTGCCACATCTGCCAGAAGGCCTTCACCTACCAGCGCATGCTTAATCGCCACATGAAGTGTCACAACGACGTCAAGAGACACCTCTGCACCTACTGTGGGAAGGGCTTCAACGACACCTTTGACCTGAAGAGGCACGTCCGCACCCATACTGGTGAGCGGAGCCCCCTAGCTAAGCCCTGCTCACTTGGGAGCCGGTGGCCTGGGAGGGGCATCTGGGAGCCCAGGGCAGAGGCCTCAGCTCATCAGTTAGGCCACTCGGGTGTTGCAGACGGACAGGCCTCCGTCCATTCTTCTTCCCCAGAGTCAGCTGGTCTGCCCTCCATGTCCGGGTCCCTGATGCTTGGCCCTGTGCTTCTGCAGGTGTGCGGCCCTACAAATGCAGCCTGTGTGACAAGGCCTTCACACAGCGCTGCTCTCTGGAGTCTCACCTCAAAAAGATCCATGGCGTGCAGCAGAAGTATGCCTACAAGGAGCGGCGGGCCAAGCTGTACGTGTGTGAGGAGTGTGGCTGCACGTCCGAGAGCCAGGAGGGCCACGTCCTGCACCTAAAGGAACACCACCCTGACAGCCCACTGCTGCGGAAAACCTCCAAGAAGGTGGCTGTGGCCCTGCAGAACACTGTCACCTCCCTGCTGCAGAGCAACCACCACCTCTGAGTGGCAAAGGCCCGGCCCGGTCGCCTGCCTGCTGCCTGGCTGGCCCACCCTCCTGCGGCCTCTGGCTGGACCACTGGGGGTCAGGACCGGAGCCCCCAGGCACACGTGCTCACTCTGGCCCTGTACCGACCTCTGTTCATGTTTGTGTTTTGTCGTGTGGCCAGATGCGTATGAGCATGGGGCAGGGGTGAGGCCAGGGCCTCCTTCCGTTTGAAGCAGCATGCCTACACAGATAGGACCTACTTCCCGGAGGAGGTCGTGAGGGTGATCCTGTCGCCCCCAGGGTGATCCCTCCAGAGCACAGAGTGTGGGCTGCTGGTCACCCGTGGATGGCAGAGTCGAGAACGTTGGCAAAGAGCACCCCTGCAAACAAGGGCAGTTGGGGGGCTGGTGATGGCCCACCCGGCAGCGCTTCTAATACTCAGGGCTGCAGGGGGCTCTGCCTTCTGACAGGGACACATGCATGTGCGCCCAGCTGTAGATGTGTGAGCACACAGGAGGCCTTTCCACATATCACCTCATTCTTCAGAAATCAGTAACAAGGTGCCAAGGAAGTTCCACTTCCTTTTTCAAAGATGACAAATGTACAGATATTAATATATATTTGGTGCCGATGGTGACTGTTTTTAAGAGAGGATGGAGCTGGCTTTTCTCCCTCCCCATGCGCCTGTTTATCCCGGACGCTTCGCACCCCCTCTGTGCCTTGGCTTGGGTGGCTGCCCGGACCCCCTCCGCCCTCGCACCTGAGATGTTCACCCTTAGGCCTTGTTGCTCCGCCCGTGTCTGGAAGGGGCACTGAGCTTTCTGTTCCTCCCCTTCTGCCAGGACAACACGGCATGTCTGCCTACCCTGCCCTGCAGCTCGGCCTCCCTCCCACAGCCTTGCGAGGCCAGCCTCAGAGTCCCCAAGAGCCCCCTTGTGTCTTGGTAACAGAGTTTTTGTGGAACAAGTCACCGTTCCAGAGCTGGCAGCCCCGTCCGGCTGCAGCTTTAGGGGCAAGCCAGGTGGGACGATGAGTCTGTGATATGCTCGGGGTTCACGGGCCTGGGGCAGTAGGAAGATAAGACATGTACAGGGCCAGGCTGCGAGGCCTGCTCCTTTCCTGGTTGAGGGGAATACCCTAGGACAGCAGCAAAAAATTGGGACGGAGTAATAACCAGACACATCAGAAACTTCTAGAGGGAGGACAGTAAAAGACGGTTAACAAGTTATATTTATAACCTTTTTTCTGTTTTTCAAATGGCAAGGCTGGGTTTTGAACACCTGTAAGAGCCACCCCTGGGCTGTTGGCTCCATCGGAGGGAATCGGCCAGACTCCCTGGGCCTGGTGGTGTTCCTGCTAATAACAGGAAAGGGGTCAGAAGGGAGAGATGGGCAGGGGCTGAGCCAGCCTGCCAACTCAAAAGAGGCCCATGGGACACAGCAGGCTGGGCTGCCCCCTGAAGCCAAACCCCCAAGCAGTGGGGGCACATCCCTGGGCTGAGGGAAGGAGCCTTCTCTGACTTCCCTCTGAACATGTACAGATTGTTCTAGAAGACTCCTGTTTTATTTTACTTTAGAGTGTCCAGGAGCTGCTGTATTCTCGAAGTCACATAGTATATAATGACCTTGTCTGGAGGCTCTGTTTTGTTTACATTCTGTGTCCCCGTGTTATCACAGTCTGAGGGAGTCTTAGAGCTCTGTGTTATCTATTTTATTTTATAACTTTCCCCACAACTATTAAAATCAAAGAAGGATCATTTTCTGCACTTTTGCTTTTTTGTCTTATAGGCCTTTTTCACCCTGCAGGGAAGTTAATCAAAACAACTGATGCATTCTTTCAAAGCTTTACCCTCTTATGGTTACTGGTGGGCCTCAAATCGAGACAAGAATGCAACCCCGATAGATTGAGTGGCCCATCCATGGTCTTGGCAGTCACACCTGCTGACCCCTGGGCTACATGCTCTGCTTGTGGCAGCAGCAGGGGCCTCCCCATGGGATTCCTCCACCTGCCTGATGCTCCTGCGTCCCCACGGGAGGTTCTCCTTGGAGCCGGTGCAGTCACTCAGGGTCCATTCTTGGCTTCTCTTCCCAGCACCCTGCTGGGACCATGACATGAAGAGGTCAGGCACCTAGCTAGAGGGACGGCCACACTTGGACAGCACCTGTCCATGCCAGGCACTCAGAATGTTTCAGGCATGTTGGCTCACCCGATCTTCCAGCCACGCCCTGAGGTGGGAGCTGTTATCACCACCAGCAGAGAGAAGTTAGGTAGCTGGCCTGAAGTCTCATGACTGACTAGTACAGGAGCTGGGGTGCAAACCAGACAGCCTGGCCTGGGGTCTGTGCTGGAAGCACCACCCACTGTGCCAATACAGAGGCAAGGAGACAGCATGGCATCCCCAGGCAGGTCAGCCCAGAAGGAAATCAGAGGTTACCTGGCCTTCCCCATCACCTATCCAGGATCACTTAGGGAGACCTGATCACTCTGGGGACCCTGGTCCTCGGGTCGCAGGTCAGTGTTCTTCCATCGCATCCCTGGGAGCAGGTAGGTGGGGTCGGCAGAGCATCAGGCCTGGGCCCTGGGCAGGGTGCTCCAGGAGGCATGAGGGGTGGGTGCCCTGGTGCTGTGAGGAGAAAGGACCTCCAGGGACCCCTGTGAGAAGCCAGAGCATTGGAAAGGGTCCCAACCTTCCTTCTGTCTTTAACTAGCCAGGCACAGAGGATTTCTCCTTACCTCTAGAAGCCTCTCGTGTGAAAGGCCGACCAAACTCAAGTTTTACATGTGCCCAGAAGAGCAGAGCTCATTGTTGGGAATCCAGATGATCAACCGCTATGTAAACTTTAGGAGGAGTGGGGGACAAGCTTCCAGGAAGCTGGGGATAGGGCGGGGGCCGGGGTGGCCTTCCAGCCTCTGCCCTCATTCCTTGGGAGAGCTCAAGGGGGGGGACACCACTCAGACACGCCCTTCCCTGGCAGGGTCAGGCCAGACAGTCACATTTCGAAGGCCCCTAATGTTCTCCAGACTCTAGGATGGGTGCCAGGAGAGAAACAAGAAGTATGGGGAGCTTCTGCTACTGGGAAATAGGCCCTAGACAGGTAGAGAGACGCAATTGATGCCATCAGTTTATAAGTAAGGACAAATGGTGTGGGACTCAAACAGGAGTCTTTTGCATCAGAAACAATAAATACTTCTTGGAAGAAGCAGAGCCCCGGCTGGGCTGGAAAAACAGGAGGATCTGAATAGAACAGAAGAGAAGGGATGGAGTTTTGGGGAGTGGGATCAGGCACAGAAGAGGGAAGGTGTGGGCAGTGGGTGGGCAGGGGGTCTCACTGTTCCATCAGCAATCTGGATGCCTGCTTCATGCATTCAGCTCACCATGGGCATTTCTGAGCCCTGCCCCAATGTCAATAAGAACTGATAAAACGAGATTCTGAGAGACAGGAGGGTTGGCTTGAGCCTAGCAGGGCGGACTATGGAGGATGAAGGTGGAGTCCTATTTTTGTACCTAAAAGCGACCAAGTGCAGGGTGGGGAAAACTTTATAAAAACAGGAAGTGCTACAAAGGCTTATACTTCTTTATATTTTTATGTATTTTCTAATTTTTTTACAGTGAGCATATATTATTTTTACAATCACAAGAAAATAAAGTTATAAAACAATTTAGAGGTTCTAGCTGACAAGAAGCTCAACACCTGGGCAGGGAAATGGAGCTGCCCTTCCCTGGCAAAAGCCGATGTGATCTTGGACAGTATCAGAAGTGCGGTGTCACAGCTGTGATCCCTTCTCTCCCCCTGGGTGTTGGACACCAGTGGGTGGTGGGAATGGGCAAAGGCGGGGTTAGTGCCATGGGCCTGCCTTGTGCTGCCTGTGTGGCCCTGGGCAAATGATCTAACCTCTCAGTTCCCTATCTATAAAATGAGGTGGGTTCCTAGGTTCAAGAATCCCTTTCTGTTATAAAGACTTTATGTCTCTAGGCCCCCATCTCAATAAAGCCCTTGAAGAAACTCACTGATGAACTGTGGTGGCAGTGAGGAGCCGCTAGAGGCCGGACGTTGCTGTGTGCGTGGGAAAGGCCAGCCACATGGCCGCTGGTTTGGTGCACACAGAGAGGCTCATTCCAGGTGGCTCCACTGGCAGACTCTGGGCCAAGACGTGGGAAGTGGAGGGGGCACCCCCACTGCAGGAAGACTTTGACCTGCCTTGGCTTAACCACAGAGTGGTTGTTTGGCCAGGCAGGTCCCCAGGCATTGCCACCGGAGGGCTGCTGGCTGGGGCTGGCAGGGCACTGTTAGGACTTCCGAATGGGACTCCTTCATGGGACAACGCCACCCTCAACACCTTCCACCCACGAAACTCTGAGAGGGTCAGAGCAAAGTGGTCCTGACTTCCAGGCCTCACCACCATCCCCAGGGCAGAGGCAGGGTGAAAATGCTCGGGAACAGAACGGAATGGAAAGGAAACCCCGGGAAGAGCCACCCGTTGGGAGGCTGTTCCTATACTCTGGGCTTGGGTGGTGAAGCCCCGGACTTGTTGGGAGAAGAGGGTCCCCTCTCACCGTCTCTGGCCCTGCCTGCCTCTTGAGCCTCCCAGACACTCCATCCCAGGTGACAGCAGCCACTGGATCCAGGCTGCCCCCGCCTTCCCTGCCCAGGACCTGCCTTCCCAAGTTCCTAGCGTCCGCTGGATACTCCGTCTCCACCCCAGGCTCGGGCCCCTGGCTCTGCCGATCAGTGAGGTGCTCTCAGTTCTCCCTGAGATGCCCTCCTTGCCTGGCAGCCTCCTCCTGGGCAGCAGGCTCACTGGCACGTGGGGCTCCAGTCCAGCAACACTGCGGGGCTGGCACTGGAAAGCAGGTTGAGTAGGACACGGTGACTCTGGTCCTGGGCAAGGGTGGCACACAGGATCAGCTCTTCCAGCTCCTGCCTCCTGGATGCCAGTGCTGGGGATCAAGTGACTGGCTGCCTGCTTTTTCCTCACCTGTTCTCTATACGTGAAGTGGGTGAGAATACTTTCACCTGATCAATCTTTCAAAGTAGAATAAAACACAAATCAGGTGCCTAAATACCTTCCTCAGTGATGAGAGGGTGGGGGCCAGCTGCCTAAATCCCAGACCGGAGCACCCCACCCACCCCCTGCCTTCACCTCTGACTTCAGGCACAAGGGCCAGCTGGCATGCCCCCCACGCCCACCCCACGCCCACAGAGAGGACGCGGCGCAGCACAGAGAGCAAGAGCTGCCTGGTTGGCTGCTGCGCCCAGGCTGAGGGCCGCACCACCCATTAGCTTTCCAGCAGCACATCTCATTCCCCAGAGCAGAGGATCCAGCACTGGAGTGGAGACCAAACCAAGACAGGCTCCGGGGCCCCTGAGAGGTGGGTGGCACTGGCTGCTAAGCCCAAACGTTCGTGGAGCAAGCATTTTGCTTCAGGCACACATGTAACCGGCCCTGTAATAGCAGCTGATCACCACTGTCATTTAGTGAGCGCCTACTATGCGCCAGCAGCGCCCAGCCACGCTTCTTCCTGACATCATCACTAATCCCCACAACAACCTAGGAGGTAGTTATTACTGTTCCTATTCTTAGACAAAGAGATTGAGGCTCATAGAGACTTAGTATCTTGCTCAAGGTCACCCAGATAGTCAGTGGGGGGCTCTTGTCTCACAGATTCCCAACTATCAGGAAAGGGGGCTTCCTTCCTTTCAGCTCTTCCCTCATTCTCCCGACACAGAGCACGCGCTCCATTCCCAGCACTGTGCTGACGCATAGGGGTGGGAAGGTGAGCTAGGCATGGCCCGTGCACTCTGGAAGTGGCCCTCAGTGGGGGCAACACCGCACCCCTGCCCGGCGGCGGGGGCCAGGGCGCACTAGCAGATGCAAACCGTGGACAGCAGAGTGGGGCCAGGCTGCCTGGGCTCCGCCATCGAGCAGAGAACTCCGAAGTGCCCAAAGGGCACCCATGTCAACAGAGTTGAGGAAAGGGAAAGGAGGAAGGCACCCCGCCAGGCTGAGCACCCCCTGCACTCCGGGGCACTGAGCGCCAGCCTGGAGGTCTCTCCAGATGAGGGCAGTGAAACCTCAAGAGGTTAACAAATAGCCAAGGTCAAGGTGGCTACCTGACAGCAGACCTTCCAGGGCACCTGCCTGGAGCTCCCCACCCCCATCACACTGTCTTCCCAGGAAATGCGTGGAAATATAAGAAAAAAAATGTTCTGGAAATTCCTAAGCCCAGCTGTGTGTCAGGGGAGAGGCAATGTCCCCATTGGGAGACCAGAGGGGCCGAGGGGGTCACAGGGTGCAGCTCTCGCCCCAGAAATGGCAGGTGTGTTTGCTCCTGCTGAAATTGCAGCCACGCTCATCTTCCAGACATCCCAAACCTGGAGAAAGGGCCAGAAGGGAGGCGCTTAGGGGTCGGGGTGGTCTAGTCCCGTGGGAGCTGTGAATGAACTCCCCGCGGGCATCCGCCCCCTGCCTCTCCTGACCTCCTCCCTACAACCCCAGTTTTCCAAGATGGTGATCTTGGTCGGTGAGAAACTCATCCTGTCTGCACCACCTGGGAAGTCCAGTCCAGCCGGCTCCTGCCGCCCCCTCCCTGCCTACCCCGCCTCTGGGGGACTCCAGGTAACAGGCCCAGGCGCTCCCCTCCCCACGCGCAGCCCAGCCAGTGTGCGGCTGAAGGGCACCGGAGAACTGGTCGGACTTGCGCCCCTTTGGCCAGAGGCACAAACAGAACGTGTCAGCGGTAATAACAGGGCAAAGGAGCGGACG